TCGAAATTTTCTCGTTGCAAGCGAAGGCACCCTCCACGCCATGCCGTTCCTCTTTGATTTCGCGACAAGAGGTGCAAACCGAAGAGCTAGACGTGTAATGAGGAAGATAGCTGTTGGAGGAGACGAACGTTGGAGGTAACGACGCAAGACGGAGGTAGAGGGTGGAGAAGTGGCAGTAGCAGGAGGACGGACGAATCGATGGCACTTCGCGCGAGCAAGAATCGAGAACGAAAGTGTCGTGGTAGCGAGAAATGGAACCCTTCACACTCGCTGCCGTGGCTCGAAGAGGACCGTCATTATAATACCGAACGTTTCTTTTCTCTCTCTCTCTCTGTCTTCTTCGGCGGTTCATCGCTCGTTAGGTCGGTGCGCACGCAAGAATTCGCACTCGACCACTTTCTTCATTTCCAATCTATATAGCTATATATACCGGCTATATACAGACGTATCTTTCGAATTCCTTCGTGTCTCCGACACTTCTCTCTCTGTCAGACTGTGTGCAACTTGCAATCCAATTTCCTTCTCTATGCCGCGTTATGACACAATAAACTTTGATTATCGTGACATCCGGCTCGTTTCTGGAAACTCCAGCCAACAGGCAGGAGCACGTCATTATAACGCGCTCGGTTCCTCGTTAGTTCGGTAGCTCGCCAGACGAACCTTTTGCACGACGATGATCTGCCGCGATTACTCTGGATGGAATTTTTCCATTAGCCGGAATACGGTGGCAAGCCCGCCAGCCTGGAGAACAGAGAAGCAGAACGAGAGATAGAAACGAATTTCGCGTTCCCGAATGGCGAATGTGTTTTTTGCCTTGCGCACCCTCCACATAGCCCTCTTCAATCGAAATCACGGAGAGGGTAAATTAATTAAAATAACCGAGAAGGCTGTTCGGTGCGAATTTCGCTTCGATTCTTTATCTTTCTTCCTCCTCCTTCTCTCCGTTCCCTGCCACCCCCCACGACTTTCTGTTCTCTCTTCCTTTTTTCGAGTTTTATTAAACGCGCGGATGAAATGGACACGCAACTGTGAGATCGTGCTTTGTTATCGAGTGAAAGGGTCTGGAAGCTGCGTGTCACGCCGATAACAAAAGGAAACGGTATCGGCCTAAAATAGATTGACGCCACCAGGAACGGTCCCTGTCGCGTCCCCGATTCTCTTTCACCTCCTCTTTCTCTCGATTCGACCCTCGGCCATCCAAAGATCGCTAAGCATTCCGTTTAGTCGACCGACTCGAGTCGAACGATTCGGGATGAATCGAGCGACTAGCTCCGTACGCGTCGTCCCCCTACGCGTTTTACGTAGGCGTCGAACCGTGTATAACGATCGACCGGAACACAATGATCGAGGAAAGGGAGAAGCTTCGATTCCCCGTCGTTGACACCTGATACCGTGTAATTAGATGGGCTACCCATAAGCTTCAGGGGTTGGAAAGTTCAACGATCAAAATGTAACAACGGCGCGAACAGAAATATGGTTCCTTTGGTTTATATGTCTATATTTCTCACGTCGTCTCCTAACAGAACCACGTCGAATCGTCATTCACATTTCTTTCTCCTCTTTCCTCGAAAAAGAAAAACTCGAAAATCGTCGAAAATCCGCGATTTCTTTTTCCTTTCGCGAGTTTTTCACTTTGAATTTCCGTCGGTACGTTGTTTAAAATCCGACGATATTGCGCGAGAATCCGCAAAACGCTTCCACGGGGATCATCCATTTTTTCCCCCTCCTCCTCCCCCTCCTCCTCCTCCCTCTCTTTCCTCTTTCCAAACACGGTAGTCGGACGAACGAAAATTCTGCTGCTCGATGTGGTATTTCGAAGCGTGTAAATTCAGTCGAGTGAATTCTTTCATGAACCCCGGTAACGAGCCAGGCGTGCACCGGCGATCCCTGATACAATGACAACGCGGCCGGGGACGGTGTAATGCCACTGTACACACCGATACACGACGATCTATCGAGGGATGAAGAGGGTAATGAAGAGGTGTTGAACCGTATCCCATAAACCCCCATCGTCGCGAGAACCAAGGGTCTCTTTGCATAATAACTTACAGTTCGCTCATCAGTTACGGGTTTTAACCAATTACGAGGATATTAATGGGGGGAAGTTCGGCGGGGGTAGTCAGGCAGGATCGCGTGTCCCAAAACACAGGACACACGGGGGATGAGTCTCGTTTCACCTAGCTCTCTGTTATATCGTTCGTGCCAAGGGATTTTCATGCGTCCTGCTGCGTCGCGTTCTACCCCGGTCGGAAATATTTGTTTGCCTTTGTTGATATCTACCTGATATTTCGTCTCTTACCGTCACTCTGTATACTTTCTCTATCACAATCGCTGCATTTTGCGTATGATAAGTTTAGAAGTAAACTCTGTATAAACTCTGTAAAAACTGTACGTCTGTACAAACCTGTACATCTTATGCGTTATTTTTTCTCCTCTCGACAGCGACGAGAAATTGCAGAATGAAGACGAAGATTGTTGTTGACGGGAAAGCAGGAAACGCGAAATCTTTCGTGAATGCCGATTAATCTGGCGCGAGGAGCGCAGGTACCGAATTCTCAAACGATTTCACGGTTCTACGGATTTAACGCGGCGCGTTTTCCTTTTTAGAGAAACCGGAATCGCGGTAGAACGAGTCGGCCCCGTCTCGAAAGAAGGAAAGGGCAGAGAGGCGGTTAGTTTTGTGGCCTCCCGACGATCGTCGACGGGGAAAGTTTTTCGTCTAACTGCCGGTAGCAACGACTTGTCGAACAGCGTGATGCCGACTCCAGGTGCTAATAATCCTCCCCTAATTGTCACACCTCTGGCCCAGGATAATTCCCATTAAACGTCACTAAATACTTGTTTGTATACAACCCCCGCTGATCGACGAGAGACTCTTTTACACCTTTCTCGAAAGGTAACGAAGAACTTCCTGCCGTTTTTAAGAAGCACCGCAGAATAGGCATGCAAAATCGACACTCGCAAATATTGTTATACAACTCTCCTTCCCATTTATGAAAATTTAACGTTATCCAAATTTTTCTTTATCGAAGACAGCCAACAGTTTTATTCTATTTACAGGAAAAAGAATGTTCATTTCGAAGCTATTGCTGTCTAAAAATTTGTTTCCATTTCATCCTCAAAGAAACCAGAATATTTTTCCATTTAATTAAATGAAAAAGAAAAAGAAAAAAAAACGAAAAAAATGAATTCCAATAGTTCTTCATCGAGCTATTCTAATCCACGTCGCGTCTAACTACGAGCGCAATTTCACGCAGTCAACCCGGAAACACGAAATTCCTTGTTGACACGTACACGTCGAACAAGGCGTGCTACAGGGGCGGCACCGTAACGACCGGTGGCGTTTGATAAGGGATGGCAGACTCTGCTGGAATGGTGGTCGGATGAGTCCCGATTTAATGGATAGAGGACAGATTCAGCAGATACGTCAGAAGGTCGGCGCGATATCTCGCGCGCAAATCAGAACAGAAGCACGTCGCTCTCTCTGTCTATCCTTCTGATAGGGACGTGTCCTCCGACTCTCGATGTTTCCACCGCACTCTGTACATCGATCCGTCTCTTTTCTCACCTTTGACTAACTTTTCGCCCCCTTTCTCGCTCCCGTGCATCGATACCCCGTCGTTTCCTACGCGAGCTCTCGCCTCTTTCCAAACTGAACGCGACAGATTGCATCGTGTCTAATGGCAGATGATGCTCCCCGTGCTGTCTTTTTCCATCTTTCGCGATACACTTCTCTCTCGCTTACCGAATAACGCGTCCCTTTTCCTCTCGGCAACGACAAGAGATCGGATCGACGGTGGACGATGTGCTTAAGGGTCGGTTCTTCCTACGGCTAGGTAACAGATTGGAGATCGAACGAACGATGCGACTGACAGATTAGAATGCCCCTTTACCCTCGTTACGTACATTACACCGGAGTTAAGCCTTCTTTTTCTTTTTTTTTTTTATTTCCTTTTTTTCTTTGCTCGTCTCTAGGCCAATCGATGCTCTTAGCATCTGTATTACGGCGGCGTTGCAAATTTTGTTGCAAATCTCTGGCAGTCTCTGTATGAAACGATACTACACATTACGCATTAGGTACACGTATAAAAGATCTTTGCTGTTGTTTTGAGAGATGATGGTGGAGGATTGAAGGAGTCGTTGTATGAAGGCATGTGCGAAGAAGGTGCGAAACACGAGACGATCGACAATTCATTGGTATCGATGATTTTATTGCATTGGATCGACTCATATTTACAGTAGGGGACACATACATATGCATTTTCATCTACTCTACCGATTATCTACATATATAACGTTTCTTTATTTTCGCCGTTAATCATGCTTAATTAATTCGCCTCGTCGTTGATGGCGGCTTACCTAGTTCGTACGGTAGAAACGTGAAATACGAATCGATTAAGTTCTCCCTGGAGGAATCTGTTTCAATTGCGTTCGAATATATCAACCCTCCCCCCTCTTTCCCACTTCTTTAAAAGAAACAAGTCAAACAGTAGTGGTTAGAAAGAAAGAATAAAAATAAATCAGTAGAGAAATTCCCAGAGAAAATCATTTTTCTGCAGATTGAAAGAAAAGGAAAAAAAAAGAAAAAAAGAAGGAAACGAAGAACGATTCGTGAAATCGTGAGAGTTAAATAAAAATGCATAATGAAAATGAAATACACGCGCGAAAACGGAGAACAGCGAGCGACTGATCCCTTCGTTTCCTCTATTGCAAAGCTCTTAAAAACGACCGCATGTAACTCGATGGCCAACGATCGATCGCCGACATATCTAAGCGTAATTTTACAACGGATAGTAATTAATGGCCAACGTTTTTCCTGCTCGCCCTCGCTACGCGTCACTTAAAAGCTACTATCACACCGATTTATACATTTCGCCTAAGGATAGATAAAGATAATGCGGCCAACGCTTTATGTCTGTACGTTGCTCTATGCTTTGTTTCTTTTCTTTCTCTCTCTCTCTCTCTCTCTCTCTCTCTCTCTCTCTCTCTCTCTCTCTCTCTCTTTTCCTCGCGGGAAAGCTCCTACGCAAGCTCTCACGCAAGAGAAGAGAAATGAAAAAACGCGTTGCCGAAAGAGGAAATTCTCTCGCGTCTCGTCCATCTGAATCGTCGCGATCCAACGATCTTCGCGTCCACGATTTTTCCATTTTTCCTGGCATTTTCCCCCCTTCTTCCCCGTTCTTTCGTATCGATAATATTCCGACGCGCCGGCGTCATTGGCGCTCTAACGAAATCACTCTCTGTCGCAGGTACAAATATTTACAAGTATTTACATAAATAAGTAATCATCTCTCGCAGGATACCATCGATTGAGCTTTCATGCGACGATTAATCCGATATCATGGGGGACCCGTTACTGTCCAATATAACGGCCGTGCCAATACACGCTTATATATCCCTGATTTCTCTGTCTATCTGTTGATTTATCTCCCAGCTCGGTTTATTTCGCCCGATACGACCGATTATTTGCGTTCTCCGATATATTCACGCTCGGTGTTTTGCAGCTGGCAACTGCTCGTTCGGTTAAAATATCATTGTCCTGCCGGAATTGTCTGCGACGAATCGTCTAATTCGTTTACTCGTACTGTTTGCCCGGTGTTTTTGCGGCCATCCCGTCGCATTGCCCAGGCTCCGATCCTCCGCATTAAGAATGCTTGCCTACTTCCGCGCCGTGGAAATGCGCGGTTTCCTAAAACGAATGCACCTTCATCCTCGTTTGCCAACTTCTTTTCCCGAAGGACCTTCCACGATTTTCCCAGCCGTCACACGGTTTTGCGAGCCGTTTTCAATCGATTTTCATATGACATAAGACAAAAGTCTTGACTTGGCAATCGCGACGAAGAATTTTTACGAGTTTTCAAAGCTTTCGGTTGTGTTTATCCCGGTGTTGAAGTTCTGGCGGTGGTTGAGAAAAGCAGTTTCGAAACGTGGTATCCGAAGGGAATTGTTGGAAATAATTTTCCAGCTTGGCTGACGAAAAAGACCTGAGACTAGTCTTAAGATAAAACAGGATCTCCTACAATTTTTGGTTTGCTGTAGATGAGGTAGTTGGTTGTCTCGAAACGATGCAGTAACACGTACACGTTCCCCATTTGTCGAAATATTTCTGCCGCGTCTTTGGTATCTCTTCTTGGTCTCCACGTCTATTGGAAACAATTCTTCGTACTTTCATCGGTGAGAATTCGACGATTCTTGAGATCGTCGTATTTCCAAGCTTTACCCTCGATACTTCTCTGTCTCACTCTCTCCATCTATCTCTTTCTCTCTCTCTCCCTCTGTTGATCGCCGATCGAGTCTTCGGAAGTCTCTTCATTTCGAGGGTTGCGTCAACTGGCCAATGTCCCCCGCGTAACAAGGTGGTCCAAGAATCAAAGAACACTGCGTCTTCCTCGGATAGGAATGAACACTGTCGCCTTGTCACAACATTTTGCTGAGATAACTCGTGGTACCGGGCGGCGGCAGCAAGAAGGGGCTGACGAACGAATGGCTACCGGGTCCGTGGTGAACCGACGCGTATCCAGACTGCTGATTATGACTCTGCACCGAAGTACCTAGGCCGTTCAACACCGGTGACCCGGTGTCGTGTAACTTTCTCATGTGTTTCTTCAGATCGAAGTTCCTGCAGAACCCTTTGCCGCAGATCTTGCAGGAGAACGGTTTCTTGTCGTTGTGCGTGTGCATGTGAAAGGTGAGATTGTAGATCTGATGGAACGCCTTGTTGCAGATGTTGCACTTGTACGCCTTTTCACCGCTGTGCGTCAGTTTGTGATTCTTGTAGTTGCCCTTCTGATGGAACCCCTTGCCGCAGTACTCGCACACGAACGGCTTGTAATTGGCGTGGATACGTCTGTGCGTGTTCAGGGTTGAGCTCCGGTTGAAAGCTTTGCCGCAGGTCGGACACTTGTGCGGCTTCTCCGCCGTGTGGATGATCTTGTGCCTGCACAGGGTGCTCGCCTGGCGAAAGCCCTTGCCGCAGATCTTGCAAACGAACGGCCGCGCCCCCGTGTGAACCGGCATGTGTCTGGTCAGATTGTAATGCGCGTTGAACACCTTCCCGCATTCGGGGCAGGTGAACGTTTTCTGCTTGTTCGTGGCGCTGAGTTCGTTGCTCCGTGGACCGGGACTCTTTTTCTCGCGTTGGCTGTCCGACGAGATCGTTGTCCGACTCATCTTCGAGAAAGCTTTCTGAATGGTGGTTGGGGGTGGTGAATTCTGCGGAACCGTGGGCGTGGTGGGCGGTGGTGCTGGAAAGGCACTCAGCAATGGATTCGGATGATAATAGAGAAGAGAATAGGGTTGCAAGAGATTCTGATGCCTCAACGTTGGCACGTATTTCTTGAAGGCCGATTCTAAGTGCGCGGAATAAGTTAACGAGGGGATACTGGGCGGCGGAGGTTGCGGCGGTGTGGTTTGCTGATTGTTGCTCTGCTCGGTAAGACGTTTGTCCGGCTCCATGATTTTAGCGATAGAAAAGGTCAAGTTCTTGCACGGTGCGGGCGAGGTAACCCTCTCTGGCGGAAGACTGGTCGGTGTTTCGGTCGCCATTGTGCTGCCGGTTGAGAACGGTTGCATGATAGAGATCTGAAATGGAAACAGGATCAGTTCATTTTCCGCAGGCAGGTATTCGGTTTGCTCTCGTAGTCAGTGACACGAGAGAATTTCACAGGTGTGTACAACGACAAATTCACTCGGGTATTTAGCACCGCTTGTCTATGACTCGGCGACGCTAATTTCGAACATTTGTGGCACGGAAACTGATCTAAAGTTGTGAAATTTATCGTTCAACGAGCATCCAGATTTCTTCGAAGTTATCGTTTTTCTTTCTCTTTCTGTTTCTTTTTCAAACTTCAAGACAAAGTCGACGACTTTTTAGCTTGCAAGTTTACAGCTCGAAAAACTCGTACGCGCATATGTCTAGAACGGAAGAAAGGAAGATAATGTTTAAAAATCCGTCGTAACCGAATCAACTGATCCAATTCCCGCGACGATGAACAGCGTACACGAGGCTTTAGCGGTCGCATGATGGGGGAGTAGCCAAATCATGGCGATCAATTTGATGACTTCGAGGACTGTCGTTACGTGGCCGCTACGATCCTCCCGTCGCATAGGTCTGTCAGTGTTGGTGCACGTACACGGAGAGAGCGAGTGGAACGGAGCCCACATGTCGGCGAATCCGAGTGAAACATGTGGTACCGCTATTATATCCACTCAATTGGCCCTCGTGTTGACATAAAAAAAAAGGACGCTGCGCATTGAACGATGGGGGCTGGCAAACTTCGGAACCACGAGACGAGGAAATGCTCCGTTTCGCACTTCGTCTACGAGCTAAACGTTTTGTTAAACGTCGTCGACTGTCATTCTCCTCTCTTTTTGTCCCCAACGAATTCCCAAATGACGGAAAAGAACCGATCATTGGAAAAATCGTAAATCATCGGGGGACATGAAGTGCAACGATGTCGTTCGACATAATCACGTATGCGTGCACAATTTGAATGTTGATTCGCATGGAAAACAGCATGAATATACAGGTAGCCATTAAGCATGTGCAACATGAAAAAGGGGAATGAATGGCGGGGTTGAATGAGTCGCGAAATGGTCAGCACAGTTGAAGAGCAAGCTTCCCCGAGGTATCACGGAAAGGTTTGCACGTCGAAAAGTAGAAATGTTTGCTCCGTAGAATAGCGTTATGTTTGGACTTGGAATGACGGTTAGAATTGGATAGGATTGCTGGCTGGTAGCTTCGTAAAACACTCGTTTCTGTCTCACCGAAATTCCGCCGTTTCTCTTTCTCTCTCTCAAGAAGAGAACAGAAGAGAAGAGAAGAGAAGAAAAGAGGAAAGAGAAACTCTCCGCGGGCAATTCCGCTTGTAACGGAAAAGTTCAACGCGAATGCCACGCGATAGAAGATCGATTCGAAAAAATGGAAATTCAACGAGAGTAATACGAGGCGAAAATTTCCGAGAGTGCGACGAAATATCCCGACGTCAGGGTGAGTGGGAACGGTGGTGCTTAACCACGATGAAAAATGCATGCTTCCAGAAACGATGGAAATACCGAACCCCCGTCGATAGGGTGGAATATGACGCAGTGGTCCTGCCCAAAAGCTCCGCCCATTAGCCGGTACCTTTCGATTGTCCCACAGCGAAAGGCAGCCCTAATAACCGGGGAACAAGGAGCGGAAAAGCAAGGCCGGTGTGAGAAGCGAGACTCGAGAAGGGAAACGATCTCCTCGCGCACCCCCGAAACGCCCCTATGACCTATAGAAAACCGTAGACGTCGACTTCATCGCCATGGAGCCGTGCAACTGTCGACGTAAATGACAAAGGATATGATTATGTGCCTTCGAGTGCTTGCGAACGCGAGCTTCGACTCCAACTCCATCCCTCTTACTTACGCGCTTACTTCGATTTCTACCCCATGTTCTATCGCCGCTTTTTATGAAAGTTTCTCTCGAACGTCTCTCTCACAGTCTTCGACCGTCTCTCTGTCATAATGGACAGGTTACTTACTTTGCCGTCTGCTCTTTGCACTTTTTCCACTGCCAGCGTTTGCCTCGCTTGTCTTTTCCATCCCCCTTCTCACCGTTTGCGTTACTTTCTCTCTTGCGCCCTTCTTCTCCTTTTGCTTCTTCTTTACACCATGTTCTCTCTTTTGCGATTCAAATGTACGCTCTTTCTCCCTTTTTCGTTGAACGTGTCACCCTGGCTCCTTCCTTGTCCGTCACGCTCCACAAAGGCAGAGAGATACTCGTCGTTGTATCTCTTTTTCCCTCGCTCTTTCTGGCTTATCGTCACTTGCCGTTTTGCCGACCCGTCGCGGTCGAACCGGGGGTGAGAAGAAGAAGCAAAATACCGAGGGAAACGGTGGGGATCGAGGCGACAGGATTGGCCAACGGATTTATCACCCTTGGAAAAGTGACACGAGAGGGGAGAGTCGTATGAAATGTAGTGGGGGTTAGTATTGTTACAGTACTTAACGAGCGGTCGAGGTAATCAGTATTGCTCCTTGCGGCAGCCGACAATTCTGCCAATTTGCCTCAATATCGACTGAAGTATGGCCGACCCTACTCTGGGACCATTTTGTTTCCTTCCACTCGATCTACGTGAAATTTGCTAATTTTTTTCAGTCCTTTCTCCTGTCCATCTCTTCTTCCTTTCATCCCCTAATATCCCAGATGTCTTTTAAATGTCTTCCAAATATCTCAGAAAAGGCGCGAAGATCGATAGGAATGATTTAGGGGGTTGTTTATACGTTTGCCGGCGTGATGGGTACCGGCGAAGAATTTTCGGAACGCGCGAGAAGGAAGCTCGCGTGGTCGATAGGAGGGTTGAAACGATACCCGGCTTTCGTGAGCCACTCGATGAACACGGGAGCACACTCGCCCACGTTACTATTTCCACCCCCCTCCCAGTCAGGTGAGGTTGGCGTTAAATGTGCAAAGTTTACCGATGCGATTACAAATCGTCCGAAGAATTCAATCGCCTACAGTAAACTATCAAACGGCGACGGGCGAATCGCTGAAACCTGAAGAAAGTTGAAGGAGCTCGGAGGAACTTGAAATGGCTTTGCAAATTTACCCGCCCCCTTGTCGACCCATTAATTATCTCCTACCCTGCCGACGATCAACCTTTCATTTTCTTATTCCACTTGCTTCCTCGTTTGTCTCCGCCACGACGATAATCATCTCAGTTTGCAACGAATTACCCTTTGATTGAAAATTCGACGTAGGAAAAGGAAATGCACGTACGCTTGTTTGTAGTTGAAGTATAAAGTTACACGCATAAAAATGCATTATAGGTAAATCGGCACGTTAGAGAAAATCGGTTAATTCAAAAACGGTAAGCAAGGATGACTCCCCAATATGAACATTCCACGATCGGAGGGGGTGAAAGTGGGCGGATAGCAGTTTTGCGTGTACAGAGTGCATCAATCAGCAAGTCCTTCTGCGAATAATACCTGCTCATGAGGTCACACGCCTATCGCTCTCTTCCCTTAACTGGCGATAAGGAAATAAACTGGCCCGAACGAATTTTGCCGCTTAACTTTATTACTATCGCTGCTTGATTACGAATGATAGCTGAAAAAATGCGTCACACTTCCGTGCGTCTAGCTCCTCTACGAGAAGAAGAGAAAACGAAGCACCGGATTGGAAACAAAAAAAGAGACGCACGTTTCCCTTTGAATTGAAAGCTGTTCTTTTGCGACAGAAACGCGAAAGAAACGACGCAGTTCTCGCGCGAAAAGCTTCCAGACGTTGTGTAATTTTTATTAGAACGTCTCAAGGTCCGGACGACGTCTTTGGTGTGGAAGAGGACCATTAGCCCGAGTCACCCTCATTGTTCCATCCGTGACACTCGTTCTTCCGTGATATGGCGCGTAAACCGTTGACATATAATTAGCATTTGGGGTAACGAAAGCTCGACTGAGAATGACAGGAGGCACAATACACACCCACTTGGCCATCCTCTATCCCATAACTTGGCCACAAACCCGCCCTTTCTACTTCGTGCACCCAAGTAAGCCGATTCGAAAATTAGCCGGCTCAGAAACCTTCGCCAATGGGTCGACTTCCTCGGTAAAAACCGCTTCTCTTGCCGCCTGTTCGTTTATCTTTCACTCGAGGTAAAAAGTAAATCGGATGCACGATAGACAATAGGAGAAAGAGAAGCAACTAGATAGACTAAATTTCACACTCGGTCGCAGAATTGGTAAACCGAGCGGAATTTGAGTCGCAATTGTAGGTGGGAGCAGCAGGGGTGGAACGAAAACGATCACGTGCATTCTTTCTCTCCCAGGGAATTTAAACGCGCACCATGACTCCTGATTTCGAAGTTTCGCGTTATGAGGAGAGGATTCGCGGAGAGGGTGATTTAAAGTTAATTGGAGAGTGGCGGTGGCAGAGACGAAAAGAGAAAGAGAGAGGCGAAGAGGAATAAATTGCGAGTCGCCTCGCACGAATCACCGGGGTATCCCCGGTGTTATATTCCGCCGCGCGGTGTATTCTGAATTAAGTCGCTCAGTTGTGCGCCGTTTACTTTACTCCTCGACTGCTCTCGAATCGTGTGCACGGGGGAATCGCTTAATTTTAAGAAACTTTGACGTCCGTTCCACCAAGTTTAATTCTATCCGTCGAACAACCAACATCGTGTTGCATCGTGTCGTTTCCCAAACGACATGTCCCGATAATACCTGAAAATTACCTTCCGTGCATCGCGGCTATCTGATCGCGTTTGAAATTCGTTTGAAGTGAAACTTCTGGAATAAAATTGCGGCAACACGGAGGCAGATTTCTCGAATTATTCTCACTGAGATCGGTCGAATTCTCATCTTAAGGAGAAGATAAAAGCAGAGTTGGCAGAGAGACGGGGAATTTCAGTGGGAAAACGCGGAGCGCGGACGACAAAAGGCGCATTGTTTAAAACGAAAACGAAGTGATTCCAGAGAGCCCTGCGTATGAGCAAGCGTACAAGGGTCGAAAAAAAATTGGTGCCCACGTGCGTGGCCGTATGAATACGGGTTTTCCAAAATGGCAACGAGTCCCGCTGGGCTCGATGCATCTCGAATTCACGTAGTTCGACGTA